AGGCAGCAATATTTCTGACATGTTCGACACCAGTCGACTTTGAGCCGGTAACCTTCACTGTTTTCGTTCCGACGTAGCTGACTTGACTTCCTTCGTCAATCAACATTCTCACAGTTCGAGATCCTCTTGCGCCCATCGCCCGCACCACCACAACTTTCAGGAGCACATCGTTGCTTCTTGCAAAATTATTATGACGGACGACGGAGCTATCTGGTTGCTCAGGCTGACGTTCAGTCTTGTCACCTCCACGACACATGATGAGATGATGCCTATTCCCACAACCACCACATTTCACAGTTGCACTACATTTCTTTGAAATATGTCCAGATTTCAAGCACCGGAAACAAACTTTCTTCTCTTTGAGCTTATCATTTCTCTGCTCCATGGTCATGGTCCGTGCCTTGAAACAATCTTGACTCATGTGATTAATCTTGTCGCAGAATACGCATCCAATTTTACTTGTTGACGATAGACCAGCAGCGGTAGCGACGTCCTCTTGGGGCGCATCTCCGTACAGTGAATCCTTTTTCTTGAAGTCCTTGCTTCTGACCTTCTGCCCGTAAACCATCTTCAGTTTTCCTTCTCGCTCGACTTCTTGACGGAGGAACTGCATCAGATTATCCAACTTGGTTTTCGGAGGATCAGAAGTAGATAAATCTTCATCATACAATGTTGAGCGGTACCAAGCTGTCAAGATTTCTTTCGGAACACATGTCTCGATCATGGGTCGCAAGAACAATGTGTCCCTCTCTGACTTAACTCCCAACGATGCCAAGGCCTGTAACTGTGTCTGCAGACTGTCATACAATTTTGATAATGGTAACTTCTCTCGCTTTGTTAAGATATCCACCAACTCTCTTGCATACAAATCCACCAGCAAGTCTTCTTTGCCAAAGCGCTCCCTGAGAGCATCCACAGCTTTTTGGTAATTCTCTTCAGTTTTTGGATAACTCTTTACAACATCGGCAGCACGAGTCCCACTCACCATTGATTGGGTCAAATAGTGAAACTTGTCTGTGGTGTGTAAGTCTGAATCCACATGAATTTTCTCGAATTGTGCCCACCACTCAAGCCAATTTTTAAGTTCACCATCGAATTTGATCAGCTCTATCTTTGGTAACTTGTAATTCTTCTTGTGGTTGTCACTCGAATCCGAACTGCGCGTGGATGGACTGGGGCTTGAGGGGGAAATGATCTTGCTCACTTTATGCCGAATAACTAACACTTTGTCGTAGTAATCTTCTACTGTGGTAAGTTCCGCTGCATATTCTTTATCGTCAAGATTCCCATCCAGATGTTGATCTTTCATCTTCTGGTCTAGCTCCTCCACCTCCTCCACTAGCTTATTCAATTTGATTAATTTGATCTCGAGCGTATCTTTGTCCGGTGCGGCCTTGGTCCTCTCTGCGTCCAGCTCGTTCACTACCTTCGTGATGCTTGCTCTGACGGGAGTACGCGCCTTCCTTATCCGGTCCATTGTACCTCGAAATCAATAAATCCAACAAACGAAATCGATTAGAAAATGTTCCCAACAATAATACTCTGGAACAATCTCCACCTCAATCACTCCTGTATGCACAGGATGGGGCCCTCGAAGAGGCTATACGAACACTTGTGATAATTCTGCTTCCCTCCTTCACGGACGTGGCACCAACGGCTCTCTCCAAGGAAAGGACAACACGAACACGAATAAAATAATTGAAATGGTATCACCTAGTACACCCCCGAATACTCAGGGTGGGGTCCTCGAAGAGGCAAAGTAGGTTGATGATTCCTCTGGTCCCTCGCCGGCTTGACAAATCTAGGTCCGGTCACAAGGGTCTTGGCAACAATGACTTATTCTCCCTCGCCGATTCAGCTTTGCTCTCCTCGGGCACAAGGGCTAGTCTTCTGTCGTCGACACGCTTCTCACTTATCGCGATAACACCAGTAAAAGGGCCCCACGTTGGGCGCCAAATGTTGAGACACAAAGCGATCTTATCCAACTACCCGTCGGGAACGCGTCTCGCTATTAATGGGCCCTTTTCTGATGATAAGTTATAAAGAGATGATACACACACTCGAAAGACACATTGGCATTACTTTTAACAATTTATTGCAATCTCTTTAATTATCAACAATTACAAAAAATGAGAATTGCACACACAAGAAAAAGACTACCTCTCTACTCGAGTTCCAGCGGACGACGACTTCTTTTTTCTCTTACTCCCACAAAGAAGGAAGCGAGGTTAAAATATGAAGGGAAATACAAACTATAGGGGCAAACTAATAATCATATAATAATGTATAATCCAACAAGTGGGGTTTCGTCCCAGTGGAACCTCAATTGGTTTATGTGTTTACTGGGTTTCCTCTTCGCGAAAACCATGATTTTGGTTTTGTCAGTGTTGACTTGGAGGACACGGCGCTTGAAGAAGGCGGCTGTTATGTTAATTTTTTCCTGGATTTGGGATGGAGTGTCTCCGAGTAAAACGATGTCGTCTACGAACAGGAGGAGGTGAAGTTTGGCATTTGCGAGTTGAATTGGGGGTGGTCCGTATTTATTAAGTTCAACAGTTAGGTCATCTATAAAGAGATTAAAGTTCAGGCCCGATTGCGGTTCTCCTTGTAAAACCCCTTTTCGAATTTTGAATTTATTTGTGAGACCGGTTTGGAGCTTGACTTGACCTGAGGCTCGTGAGTAGAGGGATATTAAAAGGTTGATAATTTTGAGCCCATTTCTGCTCTGGTGAGGACTTCCCAGAGGTCAGCATGTCCAGGTGAGTCATACGCAGCGCGCAGGTCGACGAATACAACATAAAAACGGCCACGTGGATGACGAATCCTTGATTGGATCAGGGTAAGTAGGGAAAAGAGGTGTTCGTGAGTACCCGTCCCCTTTTTGCAGCCGGCCTGGAACTCACTAATTTTGTTGTTGTTGACCGCCCAATCATGTACTCTTTTGGATATGATGGTTGAGAAAATCTTGAGTATAGTTGGAGCAAGTGCTATCGGTCTATAATTTTGAGATATGAGCGGGTCACTCTTTTTAAAAATTGGTTGGAAAAGAATTGTTGTCCACTGCTCTGGGATGATGCCTGTTGTTAGAATGTTGTTGAACATGTTTTGGATATGTTTTATGTAGGTTGGTGGGAGGGACTTCCATACTTCGTTAGGGATTCCGTCGTGACCTGGAGCTTTATTATTTTTCAGTTTGTGGAGTACACACGTTACCTCATGAAGGGAGATGGGGTAATCGAGGTCAACGCCTGGAGAGTTAGGGAGCGGAAGTGATGGTGTTGTTGTTGAGGAGGAGAAGAGGTTTTCAAAATGGTCCACCCATTTGTCAGGGTGGATTTGGGATCTTGTGTATTCGCGAGGTGTCAGCTTTTTTATAGCATTCCAAAAATCTGATGAGGATCTGTGATTAAGGAGAGTATCAACAATACCATCTTTGTAGTTCTGTTTGGATGATTTCGTAATATACTGAGATTATCCGCTCTAATTTTCCTGATTTACGTTCAATTTCTTGCAAAAAGCCGTTATCCATCATTCAAGAGTTCAATAGTGAATTTTTGGGTGCGTTCAGTTTGATCCGCATCAATTTTGCATAAGATGCAATTTGTATTTCCAGGAATTGTAATGTAATTGTAATGCCTTGTCATAAATTGTAATCCGTCTGGGAAATGTTTCCAAAATTATACTGGCTTACCCTTAGCCCTTAGCACTAATTAATTGCAAACCACAGTATTTTGATTTTATTTTAGGTTTTATTCTAGTAGGTAATTTTTTTTTTAAACTCCATAAAATGTTGCCGTCCTCTAGGGCTGTAATTTTGACACACAATGTGATGTAACTATTTACATATTTCGACGGGATCTCTACCAGCAGTACCCTTGAAATGAGGAGGAAACGAACATTACGACTTATTTTCAGTGCAAAAAAATTTCTTGATTCTCAATAAAACCAGGATAAAGCTTTAAAACCACAATCAAAAGTTGTTTAGAAACATGTATATAAATATGATGCATAAATGGTGAAGAAATTTAGAATGCATGTAAAAATATGTAAAAGCCAAAATTGCATTAGAAAAGGTAAGCAGGAAATGCATATGTGGGTATATGATGGATGGCACGAGAAACTTGCTCGACTCGCGATGCAGCAGTTACTCTCACTCTCGTCACCATCCAATACTCACAATGTTAAATGTAGTAACTTTGTTCATGAAAAGCAAAGAGAAAGATGCATGCATGCATATTAGATATGAAACGGTCAGTTCTCGGAAAGACCAAAATAACTGCGACTCAGGTCACGTAAGCAGCTTGCTTTCACGTCCGACCTTCCGTATATAAACGGTCACGGTCCACCACCACGACAGGTTCAAAAAATCTATGTGCTAAAGCAAACGCTGTTATGCACAAGCGTGTTTAAGTAAATCTCACGTTACCTCAAATGAGAAGGAACGGAGAAAATAAATATATACGTATCAATTTACCTCAAAAATAATTATAAATAACAAAATATCAATTTACTCCAAAAATAATAATAAATATTGCATGCATTAAATATGCGTATGTAATATACCAAAAGTGTAAATAAATCAATAATCGTTACATTATTATAAATCTTAACCTTTTCGTACACAGTTTAATTATTCACATAAAATCCATCCTCACAAATACAAATTACACAAAAACACTTATCACAGTTTCTCACGAACCTCAACAACAGTGCGTTGGCTTAATTACTTGCCCAGAAAAATTATCGCTGCTAAGCCATACCAAATGAACTAATCTCCCAATTCTGCAAATAAATCTTGAGCCTTTTTAAAATAGGAACATTTCTCTCTCAGGTTGCAGATGGTGCTTGAACAACTAAAATTAACTTCAGTTTAACAATTCAATAACTTCAGCAAGAAGCATTCTTGTTCAGGCTCTTTAAACTCGGCCAAAAATTTGGTTGTGTTTCTTGAGTGAGAAATGGATGTCTAAGCATGGACAACTGATAAATTAACTGTGTCACGTTCAGTTCAAATTCTTCACGAATCTGTATTATCGATAACATCTTTGTCGCCTTGAATTTGCACAGGTGCATGTCCGTTCAAATGCTTCATAGCGCTGAATTCCAGATTGCTTGAATTTTCTGTTAATTTCCGCAATGAATAAATTCTTTTGGTTTTTTAATGAAAAATTTGCCGACAGATATGCCCATCCGCTTTGACCCCACGATCAACGACGTAAAATACTATGTCACACTGCCAAGCCATTCGTTAATGCAAACAATTTTCAGTTAAAAGCACACGCTATTCTTTGGTTTTCAACAATTTTGAATGCTGAAAAATAATTGTTGATTTGGGTATTGGTGGGCAATGCCCGACGTGATTTCAGTTTTTGAGGAAACCTTCAAATCCTAATCCCCAACCGATAGTAGTTTGTGTAATGGGGCAGTTGTTCATAAGCTAAAAATGTCAGGAAATAGCAAATTATGTGACCCCATGTCTGTAGTACACAATGCATTTTAAATTTTGATAAAAACATAACTGTGTAGAGTTTCAGAGTAAAAGAAAACTGTCAAAATGTCGCTAATTTTTCCCAAATAGCTCCATAACACGAAAATAAATATTTGTAGTCCAAAATCTGCTTGTATTACCATCAGCAAGGTCTCCACTAACTGGTAAAATAATAAACATGAAAACATTTCAGCTATTACGATTTATAAAATTCCATTTAACGCAAAAAACGTTACTCACGCTTTTTTTGTACAAATCCACCTGGTATAGAATGAGTTAACAAAATTTTGGGAGATTTGGAGTTATTTATGAAAGCCACATAGGTGCCAAAAATTTTAATACCACTTACATAAAATTCTATGAACAATTCATAATTCTAGAGTGTTTTAAAAATATTCTGAAACCTAAAATTTATGCAGTTTTGGAAACGCTTTGGAACAGAAACATTTTTTCGTATGCATATATCTCTGGCGCCATTTACACTAGCGAATTGAGATTTTACACCCATAATGTTCACAATAAGGTCAACATATTGCAAAAATTTCAATTCAAAATTTCTAATAGCGCCAAAGATATTAATGGTCAAAAACGTTATCAGGGAGACGCCCTAACTCTGTATACAGATATGTACGTATATTTGTATATTGTATATACCAATTTGGTATTATATTGTGTATACATAGTATGGTATATTTCGAAGAATATTTTATTATATTGGCGCAGTATTCATATTGAATATGCATTTTCATTTAAATTGCCCACCTCTGCCAACGGGAATGAATATAGACATAATTTTCAAATTCTACTCTTCTAGGATGCATGTTTTTTTTATCTATGTGCTTGGTTCTCACGAGACCGTGGGGACATATGAATGGACTGTCCCCACGGCAAAATTTCCGTGGGGACATTGTCCCCATGTCCCCACGCTTCCGCGGCCACTGATAGGTAGCACCGTTCGTATTGAACAGTTGGTTATCCAAGCTGATGCGAAACAATTGGATGAGCAACCACTGCTACTCACTAGAATGGACCAGGTCCATTTTTTAATAAATTAATAGCACCGTTGACATCTAACAATCGGTAACACAAAATGATGCGAAATAATTGGGAAGGGGGATGCAAAACGCACCAATAGTGCAAAATATCCGGGAAAAATGGCCATACAATTTTGACAAAGTTTTCAAAATTATGTAGCCCGGATAGTCGCTAATGCTGCAGTAATGGTGCTACGGCTAGCCGTTTTTGTTGCACCATGGGTGCAAGAATATCTACGAGTTATGATCTATTTTGCCGGCTTATTCCGCACGTTCGGTGCAAAGTTCTGTCTAATCATCATGACAGGGTGAGCTACTTCTAACGTTACTACGGTTTATTCTTACTAAAATTTGTACTTCAACATAAAGGTAGTGGTCGATACCATGTTAAAATCGCTTATGGGAAATTGAATTCTGTAGTTTCCGGACTATATATTATATGACTATATATATTATTTGTAAATCACAATCACTTAAATTTCTAAATAAGTCGTGAAAACTTGATATTGGATGACGGTTCGTGGCATGACCAAACTGAGTAAATTATAAATGAGTGAAACATTTGTTATTCAATCTAAACAGACTGATGACCTTGCATAAGTTTTACGAACATCGGGGGATAATTAATCAAAGTGTTACCTTTGCGTAATTAACTTGTTCTTTGCAAACTCTACGTAACTAGATACTTTAATTAATTCAGGCTGGGTAGTAAATATGTATATATGTAAATATATATGTATTTACATAAATGTTGATCTCAGGATTGGGCAACAATTAACAAATAAGTTCGTGCATAAGAATTACTGAAATATTAAAATTGAATTAGTATTAATCTTGCTTTAATTCCAAATTTAGAATATCTATTTTACACACTGAATTTAGTTTGCGTTATTAATATTTTAAACCCATTAGAAATGCCTATGATTTGATTCATTCTTAATTTATGTATGTTTCGTTACAGGGTACAAGTTTCAATTTCTTGCTTTCTTAAGCTGAAAAAAAAATTCCTTGGTAAACCCAACATTCTCAATTACGGGAAGTTGTTTAAGAAATATTATATTTTCGCCGGTATGAGAGACTCCGTCCCTGCAATCCTCAACCATGTGGTGCTTACTTTTGGAATGCTCTACAATCTAAAAGAACCAAATAAAGTTAGGCACACAAATAAGATAAACTATTTTCATAAGTACGTAGAATTTATTCGCTAAATGAATCCTCTTACCCCATTAAGAAGGGACAAAATTTCTATCCTCTTATTTGCGGCGGCAATTTTTACCGCTTTGATAAACAGCTGAATGAACCAGGCTCCATCCTCGTAGCGAAAGGATTTGGTGTCTATCACAATTATGTACAACATTTCCTATGAGAATCGCTAAAATTTAAGTACAATTTGATACATCCTATTTTGCCTTACCGCGATAAGATGAAAAAATTATAAGACTATCAGACATTTCGGGAAGAGTTTGACTCTAGAAAAGAAGTTGGCAAAACTAGTTTAGACTCTGTACATAAGTAGACAGCATGAAACGATTGAATTTACCTCTGCAAACGGTAAATTGCTCCAGAGTTCTTTTTCCGTATTGGTCGGAATACTTTTGTCTTCCTCTGCGAGGGTCCCGCTAGTTCGGCAATGCATACATAGAAAAGCAACAGTAATGCAGGAATTTTGGACAAGCTAAATTAATTGTTGCTATTTGACATACCTTTTGAACATCTGACGCCTCATAGGCGAAATATCTAACCGATCCCCACTAAACAATTATTTAAAATTTTTGTCAATTTGTTACATATTAAGCTGACACTAGATGACGCTCTTCCCCAGTCAAATTGTGTCCCGTGCATAACAATCCTTGTGGAGAACTTTATTTTATTTTTTTTTGGAAAGTCGCCATTTATGAAAATAGATTAGAAAATGTTTTAAATAATATTTACAACGGAGTACAGGTTAACCGAGACGAAAAAACTTCAATCTCGTAATAAGGATACGAGTTGGACAGGGCAAAATGAGATTGGTTTAAGCACACATCGCACACATCCGCTTAATTTCTAATTTGACTTCCGACATCTTAACGTACCGGCAAGTTTGAATTACAAAGATTTGCGGAACACCCATCAAATTATGACAGTTTCCATTTCCAAAACGTTCAATAATTTCCGTGAAAATATCAATTTCTTTCCCATCGCTGGCAATAATATTGTCATTTGAACCGTGGCCCATAACCGCTAAGAAAATTCCGTCAATTGACCTCTTTTCGTTCTTAATTGCACGAAGAAACTTATCCAACGTTTGGAACACGTCCTGAAATTTAAACATATCCGCCGTGTTAAAAGAAGTAAGTAATAAAATAATACCAATGCAATTACTTAACCTTCTTTGTGGATTCTGGCATTGTGACGGTGACCTCATATTTGTACTCTAGACTCTCAAGGAGATCCTTCAAATCCTTCGAATCATTCTGAGCTCCGTTGCGTTCAGCATGGTCACAATTGGTATACTTTACAATGTTGATTATTAACGCGTATCTGGCATTTCCTATATGTTGAACGTACTAAAAAAATTTTCGAAAATTTAGGACTTTTTCTTGAGAGAAGTGGAAGAGCTTGCTGCAGCCTACCTGAGCTTTGATCATGTTGCGAAGAACATCACGTATGTCGCCTCTGGTAATTCCGTCCACATGGGAATTATTTTCCCTTATCTGATCGTTGATAAAACCATTGTCTTCAGTTGTTTCAAGGTAGAACCAACCTCTAGTGGAAGGTTCGCAGTGAAACCCCATTTCGACTTTAACAGATGTCTTCAAAACGTTCGGGGGTGACTTTTTCATTTCCGGTGCTTCTTCGAACCGTAAATTTGTTGCAAATAGTCCCTTGTTTGCTATCGTTGCTGTGAACAGAGCATGTGCCCTGCTGTGGCTATGGGTTCCCATATCTAGGATGTAATTTCTCCATGTATCGTGCCCAGGTTGACAATAACCAGAATTTGGGTAGAAATCGGCATGACCACAGGGTTTCATTGTGCCGTAAGGGCCTAAATTCACAACAGCATTATCTTCAAATTGTGCCAAAGTGGCATTGGAAATCTTTTGGGGTGGCTTTTCTTTATCATGGTATCCGTCTGTGTGGATAACGTCAACAAAACTGGCATCCTCCGAGCAAAGCATTTTCTCCGTGAAATTTTCAAATCCTACTCCTGCCGGGTCAAGTCCGGTAATTCTGTGGATTAGTCTGCTCTGTGAGCGGCAGTATCTCCCAGCCGCACCCATCAGGTGGGAGCCCAAACTATGGCCAATGCCCCAAACATAGGTTGCAATTTTCTGTTTCGAAAATTCTTCCTGAATGTAAACAATCAGTTTTCCAAGCTGTTTCCCAACTTCCAGGCAATTAGCCGCTGCTTTGGCGTATCTGCAGTTAAACCCAATGTTACAAACATAATGTTTGATAATCAAAACACATTTTAAAAACATGCTCAGGTGAGGCTTCGATTGGAGATTAAAGACAAGTTCATGCATACTTATAAAATTGAACCAAAAGTTCTTCATCCCCTTAAAATTTATTTCGCATAACCGTGGGCAAACAACTAGAATTCTAGAGAGGGAGTTTGTCCAAAATTACTTGTCACTATTTCTTTCCAATATTTGTTTGAGAATGTTTTTTGTGATTTTTTTTATTTCTCGGTTTTTGAATGATCTCAGCTTTTACAACGGCGACTGCTTGTTGGGGTATGGTTTTTTTGTGCCATGTCATTGCACCTTTTATGATATTGGTTGTCAATGACAACTACATTGAAACTTTGTCATTGAAATGAACTTTGTCCTTGAAATTTTGTCATTTCCCAACCGATCAACCCCAGATTTGTTTTAATGATTAAATAATCGATTTTCCTATATTGAAAGTTATCAATTACATACATTATGCTGGAAAATGTTGGTCAAAAATCGATTCGAAAGTTTAAAAACCGTTTAAAACACAGTGAAGTAAACGGTATCAAAAATTGAGGTTGAAGTGGCCAATCTCATCATCTGGCTATGCAACATTTGCTTTCACAGCATTTTAATAAAATGGACCGTGAAGGGAGAATCCTCGTGCGACTTTTCGGAATGGGGGTGTAGAAAAGCATTCTCAGCCTTCGCGGTAACCATGGTTATGTACTTTCGGCTCACAAGGGAACCTCACGACCTGTCGTTTGAGTCCAAGGTACTCCCCATGATTTTTAGGACTCCAGATGAAGGATGCGTTCATATTTCGGTGTTGAACTCATATTTGGTGTCGTGCCGTGGCGCTAAATTAGCCAAATTTGATGGTTTTTAATCTTAAAACCTCCATAGCTTTGAAATCCTGGACGGATTTTCATAATTCTTGACTAAAATCATGACAAGGAGTTCAACCCTCGTATGTAATTAAATTTGTCAAAAAATTGAGTGTTTCAATTTGTTGTGAAATTTCGCAATTTGATTGAACATATGTAGGAGCAGGGCTGTTCAATTACCAATGGAAGTAATTAATTCTTAATTCTTAATTACTCCGACTGCGAAAATTGAAATTAAGTACTAAATAAAAATACTTATTTGTCCAGTAATTGAACTTAATTATCAATTACCAATTACTTATTAGTAATTGAAAGTTACTTACCAATTACTACCAATTACTACCTACCAATTACTTACGCTATTTAAAGGGTAACTTTCGACCAAAAAAATCATTTCCGAATAGACTAAAACTTTTATAAATATCTTGGTACAGCAAACAGTTCATCTATACGATCCAAAAGTTTAAAATTGCTGTGGGTCTTTACATCAAGTAGATAATGGCCTTTCCTACCCACAATTGCTAAAATTCTTAATGCGTACATTTCAATCTATTGTATTTTACCTGACTCCGACGAACGAGATTGCTTAGATAATTTTTGCAGTCCATGGAACACAGCCAGTTGAAACAATTGTAGTACACAATTGCAGTAAGCTTGAAGTGTGAAAGCTAAATGGGAATGATGACCAAAGCCTTCACAACAAAAGATATTTACATACTTCGAGTTCTACGGGAGAGGGAGACTTGTCGTATTTCATTCCAAGTATGTTCGATTAAGTAATTGATCAAAGTAATTGAGTATTCAATTACTACTTGGCCAAGTAATTAAGTACTCCCAATTTTAATTACTCCAGGTCCTCCAAGTACTTAAGTACTTAATTACTTTGACAAATACCGGAGTAATTGGAATCAATTACCAAATACTAATTACTTTGAGTTTGGTAATTAAGTAAGTAATTAAGTACAAAAGTAATTAAGTACCACAGCCCTGTGTAGGAGTATGTCGAAAAAATCGGAAAAATATATAAAAAGTGAAAAATTTTGCTTTTTGATTTTTTTCCCAAAATGTCAACTTTTGTGAACATTTTAAATATAGAAAATCTGACAGAAAAAACCGCCAAAGTTATGGAGATATGAAGTAAGTAGAAAATGCAGATTTTTAAGTTTGGCGCCAAATATGAGTTTAACACGGAAATATGGATAGATCCTTCATCCAGGTCCTCCTAAAAAACTTCAAAAAAACTAAGATTCAAAAAAACATGTTGGGTACCTCGTACTCAAACGACAAGTCGTGTGGTTCCCTTGTCAGTTGAGAAAAACTTGTAGAATTTTGAAATTGCATATACACAGTTGGAGGTACACACTTACCTAAATCCGCCGGAGCCCGAGGACCAGTCCAAAAGAATAACAATGTAGGTTGGATGATGCTTCAAAATTTCATTTTGCATACTGGTTACCCAAGTTTTTTTTGCATTGCTCCTGAAACCATGGGTAATTATGAAGAGTTTTAAATCCGCAAGGAAAGAGCAACGTATGTGTTTTACTAATTCATCAACCACAGCTACGACGTTGACTGCTAAGACATCAATAGGGGTTTCATACTTGTCAGATTTCAACTTAAGAATTGGCTTAATTTTTGAAATATCCTTGGGAACTGGTAAGGCCTTTGGGTTGATACAGTCAAAATTTGCTAATGGAGGTCTACTGTAATGTGATAATGTAAAGAGAGTATTTAAAAATTTGAATTAGCGAATATTTAATACAACGTAATGAAATTAAATAAATACCCAGGATTGTTCATTCCTCCCTTATCGTTCAAATTTTTCTCAGGCAATTTCGGATATAGTGGTTTGACGTTGATTGACGGATTGAATTTTAAAATCTGAGTTTTTTCAGATGCTGCAGATTCTTTCGACAATAGTGGAAGATAAGCCTTGATAATTTCTTCAGTACTCAGTTTGTAATGCTCTTTCCGGGGTAAAATTGGAGGAACGCTTTGTAAAAAAGGAGGCTTGTCATCTCGATAAACGTTACAATAGTCGTTGCAGTCAGGAATCGCAGGCACTTCCACAATCCTGACGTATTCTGATGTCTCGGAGCACCAAACCCCTGGACTAATTGGATCGTTCGGGTCTTCGCAAGTATCCAATTTCAAGTATCCCGGGCCGTAGTATACCGTTTTGTAAGGGAAACCAGCCCACGCAACGTATCCCACATCCCGCCCAACTTTTCCTCGAACTCTAATCCCCGCACTGCCAAGGTCCCCCCTCAGACCATTAACTCCATCTTTCGCCTCAACAATACTCTGGAGTTCTTGCACTCGAAGTTTTTCAATGCCACCGAGCTTGATTTCGGTAACTTTCCCAGCTAAACCGCATCGACCAGGAACACCTCCGCGCCCGGGAAGGCCTCCACATCCGCCGAGAGTACCTTGGCTCCCTTTGACTAAAAAATAAGTATGCGTCCGAAATATGCCAAAGTGTTGAGCAAATGTCATATGAAGCCGCTGCTTTGTTGTTCCTTGAATAAATTTTGTACCCAAGGGTACAAAAGTTACCCAGGGACTTTGCTTTTCAACAATTTCCAATTCCGATCGTACTTTCCAGAACGTATAATCCTTATCTGAAGGAAATTTTTCTTTCAAATCCTTCAAAGTCAGTTCAAACCCGTCTGTGCCTGGTTTTCCGTTACATCCATTACCGCCTGGTTGACCCCTTCCTCCATTTCCACCGTTTGCCTTGATCCTTAAAAGGCTGAGGTTGTGAAAGTCTTCCACAAGAAAGTATACACTTCCACCATTTTCTCCATCCGTTCCATCTTCCCCGTTTTGGCCAGGATCACCCCATTCTTTCCCATTTTCAGCGGGCTGGCTTGAGGCGTGGGGTCCATGAACGCCAGAAACGTTCCATTCGCAGGTTTTCATCACCTTGACTGTCTTTGAAATGATGATAAGGTTTTTTCCATGCCAGTAATATTGTCTAAGATTTTCATCAATTTGTAGCTCTTCCTTTGCGATGAAACACACATTGACAATTGGTTGACCCGCCTTGGATTTTTGATGGATAATCTCCTCCACCTGGTTTAAGCATTGCGATATTGCCACAAAAGGGGAATGCACGATAAGGGCGTGTTGTTGGTTGACAAACGTGGTGTAGATTGACGCCATGGTCGCCGGTTAGGTTCTGATCTGATAAGCGATAAATACGTATTTTATTTATTTACATGCATAAAATCTTTGTCGTCACATATGTAGACACAGAGATACGACGTGTCGTCACGAGACGTCGGATATGAATGATCGATAAATCCTCAAAATATGAATGAAAAATGACCGTAAAAATCCCCAAAATATGACCATAAAAATGACTTTATTTTTTAAATTTTTGGCTTAATTTTTTGATACATTTTCTTGTGATACTCAATTTTTATCAAGAAAACAAGTTCTGGGGTGATTTAATTCATTCCCATTGAATTAATCACATTAGGCGAAAGTGAATGTAAATTTCTGCAAGTTTCTCACATTGAATCATTGTGAGAAAACTGAATTTTTTGTCATTTTCTGTTGATTTGGTTGCAAAATCTTAGAATTTGATCAAAAATGATAAAATGAACGGAAAAAGCCCGAAATATGATCGGGAATATGAATATGTCCCAAAACCCGAAAATATGACAAACATGAGAAAATATGATTTGACCTACGTGACCTACTAGCGACCGTAAACATTCTCAGAAAGTTTGGCGACTGTAGGTCAATAAATGGAAAAAGGCATTTTTCATTCATATCCGACGTATGGTCGTCACATAGACTCGAACTGTATTACCATTGCGAGAATCTTAACAGGCTTACAGTATGTAACTTATTTAATGCGTCGATTTTCATTTTAAAATTTATATTCAATTTCTCCAGGAACAGGTAGATATTTCAAAATTATTTTCATACCAATTATTCAAACTTTATCGGACTACATACATTGTGGCAAATTTTCTAAGGAATGGAGATGAAATTGTTGAATCCACAAATATGTTATTGCTAAAATATTGCGAATTGCACGGTACATATTTATGTACATAATTAATGTCATCATACATAACTGGTGTAAATTTCTCTTTTTTCTTGGATAAAATGCAGAATTCGGTAAGGATCAAAACCTCGTAGTATTTGTGCCACAAATGAAAATAATCTGCTTAACCTCTGTAAACCGTTATCACCGAAAATTTAATAAACATCGACCATAGCGTAACTGAAAGATTGATGGACTCGATCCCCAGACGATTTCAATAAGTTACCAACGAAATATTGAACCGCTCATACTGAGGGGAGGGCACGTCCGTGAGAACAATTTTGACCTTTAATAACTTTGGTGCTATTAGAAATTTTGAATTGAAATTTTTACAATTTGTTCACCTTATATTCAACATTTTTGGTGTAAAATTTCAATTCGCTACTCTAAATGGCGCCAGAGATATATGCATACGAAAAACCTGGACAAATTTTAGGTTTCGAATATTTTTAAAACACTTTAGAATTGTGAATTGTTTGTAGAATTTTATGTGGCTGATATGAAGATTTTTGGCATCCATGTGGCTTTCATAAATAACTCATAATCTCTCAAAATTTTGTTAACCCATTCCATACCAGGTGGATTTGTACAAAAAAGCGTGAATAAAGTATTTTTTTGTGTTCAATGGAATTTTATAAATCGCAATAGTTGAAATGTCTTCATGTTTATTATCTTAGTAATTAGAGGAGACTTTACTGATGGTAATACAAACAGATTTTGGACTATAAATATTTAATTTCGTGTTATGGAGTTATTTGGGAAAAATTAGCGACATTTTGACAGTTTGGGGGCTGTTATAACTTTTACTTTGAAACTCTACACAGTTATTTTTTTATCAAAATTTAAGCTGCATTTTGTACTACAGACATGGGGTCACACAATTTGCTATTTCATGACATTTTTAGCGTACACTCAAAACAAAACGGTGTCAATATATGACTTAACCGCCTTGGTTGCAATTGTGATTCCGAGTAGTAGTGAATTTTTTCCGTCCGGTCATAACATTATAACTACCCGTATCAAAATCATCATAACTCGGATTTAACCTTGTAACCAAGGCGGTTAAGTCATATATTGACACCGGCGGTGTTGATTCGACAAATTTTTATTTTGAGTGTGTCAACAACTGCTCCATCGGGTAATTTATGTATGGAACAAAAAAAGTCATAAGTGTGTTATGTTGGGGTTAGTTGTAGGTCTGCTTTTTACACTAGAGAATTGAAATTTTACACCTACAATACCAACGCTAGTTCCTATTAATTCACACAATTTCAGGTTGAAATTACTACTAGTGCCAGGGATATTAAACGTCAAAATCGTTCTCACAGATGTGGACTCCCCTCTGTGTTCTTGGGAAAATTGAATTTGAAATTTAAAATCGTAGCATTAAATAAGTCGCATACTGCAGGATAAAGTTTTTGAAGCCATAATGCAACATAACGCTGGGGCTGACGGGGGAGGAGTCTTCGAGCTAGAATTTTGTGGTTTGGAGGCCAAACATCGACGCCTTATCACTCTATCTTATCTACATACTCGTAGATAAGATTGAGTGGTATATCTACATACCATAAGTTCCCGTTCAAGCATTTCTGGTGATAAATCACAAACTATTAGAGCTTTTTGCTACAAATTTATGTCTAACAAATAGCTCTAATAATTTGTGATTTATCACAAGAAACGCTTGTACGGGGGAACTAATGGTCCGAGTATGTACTCACACGGTCCTGAAACGCTCAAACGCTCGTGACAAATATCGTCACAACTTTGCGAAAAGCGAATTTTATAAGGAAATTCCTTCACTTTGGTATTAAAATCGTGTTATGTGAATATTTCTATATACATATGTGTAGGGTTGTACAATTCCCGTTCCCCCGGAATAAACTCCCGTACCTTCCCTCCCTCCCAGTAAACTCCCTCACGGCGCACACTGGACGTAGTCATGGACGTTTTGTAGTTTTAAATATCCCAAAACTCCCACGGAGCGAGGAGCGGTACAACCCTGAAGCCCGGACTCTCCACCCACATAAATAATATACCTGGTTAACAAGGGAAGGTCCCCGACTGCTTATCATGTCCAGGGTACCCACCATGTTTTTTAGAATCTACTAGGACCCCAGATCAAGGATTCATTCTTATTTCCGTGTAAAACTCATATGTGGCGTCGTACCGTGGCGCCAAATTCGCCAAATTCGAATGTTCTTATTTTTGAAACCGCGCTAACTTTTGAAATGCTGGACGGATTTTAAAAATTTTTGGCAAAAATCCTGACAAGGAGTTCAACTTTCGTATTCCATGAAGTTTTTCCCAAAATTATCGCTTTGAACTTTTCGTAGAATTTCGTAATTTTCTTACAAATGGGGGTTCGTCGAAAAAATACTAAAAATATCTCAAAATTTAGAAATTTTTGATTTTTATTTTTTTCTCGAAAATTTCGACTTTTGTGATCATTTTAAGTATAAAATTTTGAAAATCCGGCATAAACAGCAAAAGTTATGAGGGTTTGAAATTGGTCGAAAATGCAAATTTTTAAGCTTGGCCCGACGCCATGGCGCCAAATATGAGTTTTACACGTAAATATGAATGAATCCTTCATCTGGGGTCCTAGTAGATTCTAAAAAACATGGTGGGTACCCTGGACTCAAACGACAGGTCGTGCGTGTCCCTTGTAAGAAATCCAAAACTTTGTGAAAATCCAAGCTATTATCAGTTATTCAAATTTAGCCTGTTTTTAAGATGTGTGAACTGTTATGGATTTTCATTCTCTCATCGGTCTGGTTTTTCGCGGTTCTAAAAATTATGCATGTAAGTTTACTAACAAGACAATGATCTGTATTTTAAAAGCATGGCTTTTTTATGTCCATAGCTTTTCCGAACAGGTTTTCAAATACAAACCATACTCGGACCAGTCAAAGCTTTTCAAACTAGAAATGAAAAAGTGGAACAGTTAAGACGCCAAAAAAGCCTAACCACCAGCACCAAACACTAAATATGCTCCAATATAAATATGCAATAAAATAAGTGGCGTACAGACCTGCCACATAAAGGCTGTCAGGAGGAAGCCCGGTTTCCAGCCCGATTCAGATTTATTAATGTGACACGTTATCAATTTATTTACATACTTACCTCTTGATTATCTCTTACGGGTGCTCCGTTGAAAAGGGTTTTAGTTTCCAAAGATTTTCTTAAATTAACTGGCGTATTGATGTGTAAATATTTAACTTTTGACTGCTCATTTAACACATATAATCTGGACTAAACATTTGGAAAATTTGATGCGCAATACATATGTGGAGGAGATTTACCAAATTATATAGGCTGATAAGAGAAATTGTAAATAATATTTGTTGAGTATCTTTTCAACTCACTGAAGTGGGCATAAACGTTAAAATACCTAAATATATATCTGTATTTATTACATACATATGTCTATACATACATACATAAGTAAATAATTTACTCATGTGTCAGTGTATGCATCGTATCCTGATTCATATGTATTATGGCTTTACGATCCTGCAAGACATTGCTTAGACATGATTATGATATGAAATCATCATCAATTGGAAGATTTCATGGCTTAGTTTATACGTGAATAGCGTTGCTTAAACTTAATGAATAACACAGGCAAGGTTATATTACATATTCTTCATGGGTTTTGAAACCATGTAGGCTACTAATATACGTATTCAGTTATTAAGGGGTGAAAACCCCTTTATGGAAATGTGTTGTCTGTCTGTCTGTCTGTCTGTCTGTCTGTCTGTCTGTCCGTATCCACGATAACTTTAGAACGGATTCGAATTTCGGCATCCGGTATTCGCCAACGTGTTTCTAATTTTTGGGGACGGGATGAGTTCGAAGATGGGCGTTGTAGGTCAAAAGGTCACGGCGCCCCCTGTCATGACGCCAACGGTCAAAGGTGTCGAATTTTTCGTTTCCACCGTTTTAGACATATTTTTGGATGGGGATATCAGAAATCGCCATCATTTCGACGTGCGATGACTCCATGACCGTGTGGGAGGTGTCGAATATCGAAAAAATGACTTTTGTCATGTGGGGTGTCTATTGAAATGTATTGTCGTGTACGTTTGAACTACGCTGGTGGGGGTGTCAAAACCAGGCAAAATCAGACGTGGGGTAATTAGAGACAATGACGGGAAAGTGAAGATAGACGTTGTGGGCGTGCCACAAAGACAATTCCGCGTGTTTTCACCCCTTTGCTACATTTCGATTGCAACGGTTTATTAGTTACAAATCTGAATTTAGAATTATTCATACCGTGACTTTGAGATGACAGAAATGCATGCAAACGTTGAAAAGGAGTAATTCATTATGTCAACTGATAACGAGTCAATAAAACTTGGATCTGAAAGTGGAGATCTGCATTCGTGCATACAGATGTACATATGTATTTCATGCGCCGCGGAGAGTGACGGAGCATATGGAAGGATTATAATTATATGTAACTCAAAAAGGAGGTCTCCCAACGTATGCTCACAGATTTGGACCAAATTAGCGTCAGTCGATCACAAATATAATTAGTATGAAATTTGCAAATGGAACTATCTGCCAATGCGCAGGTTTAGTGGAGATATTCGCATCCAAAGCGGGAAAAATTGGCAGCAAATTTGGAAAATGACAAATTTGCCGCCTTGGAGATGCGTTTTCTCCTCTTTTTATGCAAATATCTCCGCTAAACTTGAGCATTGACGGAAGCTTCCATTTGCAAATTTCATACTGATTATATTTGTGATCGACTGACGCTAATTTGGTCCAAATCAGTGAACATACGTTGGGAGACCTCCATTGTGAGTTATTTACGAGGTGCTGTCATTATTAGCTCACCCTGCGTAGCACGGGAGCTATTGAATTCCTCTTGTCCGTCCGTCCGTCTGTATGTTAACGACCTTTTTGCATCGATTGATGCTAACTAAACTGTCCCTGGTCCATTTTTTCATAAATTAATAGCACCGTTGGTATCTGACAATCGGAAACACCAAATGATGCGAAAGAATTGGGGGCTTGGATGCATAACGCACCAATAATGCATACTACTCGGCGGATTTTATTAGACAATTTCGACATAAATTTTTCAAAATTTTCGTGGAACGTTGGTAGGTAATTCTGCAACAGTGAGGCACAATTTTTGGACTCTTCTCGATGCATAATAATTATTGATCTATTTTTTTAAATTTATCTGCACCATTGGTGCAATATTGCATAAAAATTATTGATCTACTTTGTTGTATTCTGCTGCACCTTTGGCGCAAGTTATAACCAAATCATTATTACAGGGTGAGCTACTTCTAACGTTACTACGGTTTATTTAAATTTATTCACAATCTTTTCATCATGCCCCCAGTATTAGAAGGTCTCTGAAAGCCATGAGAAATATTTTATTTTCCATTATTGCGATTAATAAACTTGCAAGTTAATAGAAGAAGAATACGAAAACTATAGTTTTCTGGCGGAAAACTGGCTGAAAACTGTAGATTAGGATTTTTTGTCGAACTTTTCGACAAACTTATATTGATTTAAAAATCATAACGTTATAATGGGCGTACTCACGACAACGCCTTATTTAGCATCGCAAATCATTTAGCAAACATGCGGAGACCAAAATATGCATTTCTGTCGTGAGGGGATTCGCAAAATATGACTTCGCAAATCTCACCAATCTCGCAAATCTACTGAAAAACACCTATTTTGGTATTGTATCCATGCATTTGTTTAACTTCTCCTGCTATCGATGGTGAGGATGAGTTTGCGAAATAGTTTTGCGAAAGAAGAACTTACCCAAATTCTGGGTAAATTTGCGAACAAAAATCCCATGGTTTTCCAGCAAAATTTTTACGAAATCTCGTACATCTCGCAAAACTTCGCAAGTTAAATATGTTGCTATGCTCAATTTGCGAGATATGCGAAATATGTGCCTGTCTCTACTACTCAGGAAACAACGTCCAAGAGATCCAAGATAAATTAAATGAAGACCTCAATTTACTCTTAATTTGGTGCCATGAAAATGGAATGAAAATAAACATCCCGAAGACAAAGGCCATTGTATTCCGCCCAACAAATATCAAACCAAATCAAAATTTATCCATCAAAATTGATGAATGTGACATTGAGTTAGTAAGTAGCTTCAAATATTTAGGAGTTATTTTACAAGAGAATTTAACATATGAAATGCATTTTAACAAAGTTTGTTCCGAAATGAATGCTAGAATGTACATGATAAATAGAAATAAGCATTCATTTAATACCAAGTGGCTAAGAATATTCACTACGTCCCTAATTTTATCATTATTAGATTACTGTATACCAGTCTGGGGAAACTTAACTCAAATTAAATATGATAAGCTCGACGAAATAATGTTAAAATTAGCAAAATTAGTCATCCTAAAAAGAAAAGGTTTGTTAAATGAAAAGAATGATATATTTGAGAAAATGAATTGGTTAACCTCTGAAGAGAGATATATCCTGTATAGTTTAGAGTACGTATACAAACATGTAATAAGTAGTACCAAGACACTTCATCATCAAATAGAGAAGAAAGAAATTGACAACCAAGTGCGAACGACAAGAACCTCCAACAATCTCATATTGCCACGACTAAAAACCGTATTTGGACAAAAAGCGTTCTTTTATACGGTAATCAAGCAATGGAACAAACTTCCACAAGAAATTCAAACGCTAAAAAGCACTCCAGAATTTGACACAGCACTCAGACAGTACTTAATTTTACAACGTCGTGACAATTATATATTTTACTAAATACTATCTAATGACAAAGAATGTAACAATACATGCAATAATATGAATTTGAATAGAAATAGATATTTTCATATATTTTATCAACTAGTTAGTGTGACCTAGTACTGGAAACAAGGTGTATCACAACATATTATGTACTTCTGTCACTTGAATAAACACCGAATTGAATTGAATTGAATATGCGAAAGTTGACGTGAGTACGCTCATTTTATGTATGTACATGTATACATGTGGAAGGAGTGTTTTGCGCACGTTGATCAATTTGTATGTATAATTTTCAAATATTTTAATATATAAATCCATAAATTTCAGCAGATCTTAACAATAACACGTACTTTTTTTAAATATGAATAATTTGTACTTGCATACATGCAGATAAATATATGTACCTACATATACACCTACCTAAATCATAGAAGACTTCTATTAGAAGTTATGGGTTCATGCATTTTATATCAATTGTTAAGTAGGTATTTATAATCGATCGATGTATTAATTACTTCTTCATTCGAATGAATCGCTGATTTAAATGATTCTCTGGAATGCATTCCAGAGAAAATGCGATTTCTCCGAAGTTTGATGTAAGAAAATTGTAGTCCGTGAATTTCAATTTGAAACTGATTTAGACCTCAAATATTTTCAACAAAAATCTTTATTATGTATTCCGTACATTCGTGTCTCCCTATGCAATACACGGATATGCATTTGTTAATATCACGAAAATTATACAAATTTGGAGAGGAATTACATAATCAATAAGCTTGGTATCCATTTTCTATTCCTCCTTTAAATTACGTCTGTGATCCGTAAACCAGGGATGAAACCGAATTCAATCGAAATTTGGGGTTGCACTCGCCATTATTTTCTTTAACCTGCATAATGTTTAAAATTAGATATTTACATTTTTCGCCTTGAAAAATCGTGACAAAAAATGAGGTGGTTTACTTAAAAGTCTGAATCCTCGAATAGTCCACGACGAATTAAAATCCAATTGTCCGGTATGAAACTACCCTCAGTAGTTGGAGAAAAGTCGGTCGACTCCGCAAAACCGTTTCCTAATGATAATGATATAAATAATAACGTGATTAAAATTACTGAAGTAAAGAATCGCTGAAAGTCCATGGTTTTAATTGTATTCGCTTTAAGCAGGAGAATAAAGTAAGTATTTATACTGCTTCGTTGTGAGGTTGCAATTAACTGAGGAAAAGGAGACGAATGAAGAATGTATTCAATGTTGACTTTTCAGCAAAACATGACAGACGCAATTAGCACATTGTTCAATTCTTGTGACGTACATACATAGGTACTTTGGTCTTTGTTTTATAAATGGACTATTTTCTTGACGTTCTGATTGGACAATTGAGCCAATTATATTTGACTCATTTGTTTAGTAAAATTGAAATTTGGAAATAGATCAATAATTGAATAACTTGTCCCAATTTAAATGCCCAATGCTATCAAACATTAGAATTGTGTAACATTTGAAGTAGATAAAATATGCACACAAGACATCTATATTATAATTTCTAAAAGTCCGTCCCGTGAAATTTTCCGTGACATTCCAGCCTTCTGATTGGCTGCCGGCTTTCTGAGTCCACCAATCAGAGAAGGGATCTGAATCTATGATTATGATTATGAATATGATTATGGATATGATTATGAATATGATTATGGATATGATTATGGATATGATTATGAATATGATTATGGATATGATTATGGATATTATTATGGATATGATTATGAATATGATTATGGATATGATTATGAATATGATTATGGATATGATTATGAATCCTAGGTATGTTAAAAAAATTCCTTAGCAATGGTAAAAAATCCCTGGCAACATTAAAACAATTCCCTAGCAACTTTTAAAAAATACTTAGCAGGGTTAAAAAAATTCCTTAGCAACGTCAAAAATTACCTAGCAACGCTAAAAAATTCGCTAGCAAAGTTAAACAAATTCCTTAGCAAGGTTAAAAAATTCCCTAGCAACGATAAATAATTTCTGAGCAAAGTTAAAAAAAATTCCTTAGCAAGGTTCAAAAATTAATTCGTTAGTAACGCTAAAAAATTTCCTTAGCAACGTAAACAAATTTCCATGTCAACGTAAAAAAAATTCCATATCAACGTAAAAAAATTTCCTTGAACGTAAAAAAATTCCTTAGCAACGTAAAAAAAATTTCTTAGCAACATAAAAAAATTTCCTTAGCAACGTCAATAATAAATTCTTTAGCAACGTAAAAAACTTTCGTTAGCAACGTTAAAAAAATTCCATATCAACGTAAAAAAATTTCCTTAGCAACGTAAAAATTTTCCTTAGCAAAATAAAAAAATTCCTTAGCAACGTAAAAGGAATTCCTTAGCAACAAGGGTGGACAATTAACCCATAGATAGTCCCTCCCTCAACCAGTTTATCTCAATAGTGATACTCAAAAGCTGATCCAAAATGTAAACAAACCCAAAATCGTGCGATCAACTCGAAATTCAAAACTTAAGGGTTTATTGACCCTAGGAACTTATTTTTACTATATTTTCATCGCCGTGACCTATTTTCGACACGATATGACCTGACTGGAAAAAATTGGGCGATCAACCCGAAATTCAAAACTTAAGGGTTTAGTGACCTTAAAAAATTATTTATACTCTATGTTCATCGCCATGACCCATTTTGGACAAGATATGACCTGACTGGCTAAGATTGGGTGATCTGTTTGCAAACTTTGTGCATGAATTAGGTCGAAAACAGGTCATGGCGATGGAAATATATTATAAATACATTTTTAAGGTCACTAAACCCTGAAGTTTTGAATTTCGAGTTGATCGTCCAACTTTTTCCAGTCAGGTCATATCGTGTCGAAAATAGGTCACGGCGATGAAAATATAGTAAAAATAAGTTCCTAGGGTCAATAAACCCTTAAGTTTTGAATTTCGAGTTGATCGCAAGATTTTGGGTTTGTTTACATTTTGGATCAGCTTTTGAGTATCATTATTGAGATAAACTGGTTGAGGGAGGGACTATGTATCTATGGGTTAATTGTCCACCCTGTTAGCAACGTAAAAAAATACTTTTTACACGAAATATTCGTGCAAAATTTGAAATGTTGCCCGTCTTAAAGACGGGCTTATAGGCTAGTGTAATTATAAAACACAGACCATAGGGATTATACCATCTCAAAAGGTGAATAAATTTTTGCAATGTCATCCCATGTTTGTCATAATTATGTACCTGATCACTGTTATACAACATATAATAATGACTCTGAAGTACGTATAAAATAGCTTAAGCATACTAAGAACAATATTTTTCATGCTTTTTTGCATGATCACTACTACTGCCTGGAGACATTTAAAGCTTTCATGAGCACATATATACCTAGCTAAACATCAAAAACTCTTATTTGTATTGTAATATCGTTTTAACATGTAGATTATGTTATTCATCTTGCTGTACATATATCATTACAGATATGCTGTCACGGAGTGAGTAATTCCAAGAGCGTGGAAAAAAGTAAAAGAATATGCATCGTAAATAACTATGTGCGAGTTGTTCGTAGCTTCTGGAAAACATTTTGATATTTACCATTACACATGATTTATTTATTGGATTAATATCTGCTAATACGTATAATATATACGTGCATATACACATAAAATATTCATACAACCAATAATTATTTTTTATCACATCACTAATTAATTACATATTTCCTACGTACGAAAAAATCGTAAATTTCCATTACCTAACGAAATTTTGCCTCTGAGACTCAACATTTCAAGAATTTCGTCATCATTGTTCCATCAGTTTTTAATAATTTATAAAAATCTCAACCTAAAATCTTGTAACTAATGGTGATTTAGGGATTTTTCCCAGTTTCCATCCATTGGGATAAAAAAAAGATTGGAATTTATCTCCATCACAAGCCCAAGGTTGCTGATTCCCTGGATTTTTGTGACTTTTATCCTTTCACCGATCTGGTTCTTTCAATGCGTTTGTATAATTCTGCTGAATATTTTCGGAATTATTTCAACTCCGTTGCCATACATTTTGCTATGCAGCATCCTAGCGACACTGAATCTGCTCATGATAGCGATCGAGTTCGTCCTGTACTTTGAGGTGGAATCGGTTCAATTCGGATGCAATTATTTGATACGGGTTGCAAATCATGGACTCCAAAAGGGTATATGCAGTTTGACACATTGCGTTGTAAAACTCAGAAATGCTTGCACCGCAATCTTGCAAATTTTAATCATATTTGCATAGATGGATAGATTTTCAAAACTTGTTTTTATGCATTTTTAGTTTCCAGATCTGCCCGATTTGACCCACTCGGACTCTTCCTGAACATAAATATCCCATTCCTCTGGGCATACCCGTTCGTCTTGATTCCATTACTCATCTACTTCGAACTCGATCCGACCTATTTCTTTATCAAATATGTTCTCCGCCTGGAATTAACGACATTGTCCGCTCGCCTGCTCACATGTATGCCTAGATTTCTTCACTCAAAACAAAATCGCTAAAAAATCGCTACCGGGCGGTGTCTATATATGACCTCACCGATTTGGTAAGAATTTTGCTACCAGTTAGTAGGAAAAAGTTTTCACTCCGTGTTAGTAGCAACTTGACACAAAATTGTAGCAAACTCACTTCATTTCGTAGCGTAGCAATGCACATGATTTTGTCAGTGCCTTACCGTTTAGTAGCAGATTCATACTCTCTGGATGCATTATTGCTACCATATTATGTGAAATTGCCACAACTAGGTGACAAATAAAGCATTCACGGTAGCAAATTTTAGAAACAATTTATTTATTTCATTATTACCATATTATAATAAAATGATTTTAATACAAATTGACTTACATATGATCAATACTTAATAATACTTGGGAAAAATTATCAGCCTTAAATTTTTACCTACCTAAATCCAATTTCAATTGTATTTGATGTTTGGTGAAAGCCCCCGAGATTATCTTGAGATTCTACAATCACCAAAAAGTCACTTACATCATAAATTTTAAAACAAAAAATAAGCTAATAACTATAACTAAATTTTGCAGTAACTTATAGGAGAAATAATGTTTTCGGTGGCTTCCAAAGTAAGCTCGGTTTGTACTTGTCCTTCTCCAGTGACAATGATCATAAGTACATATTTGGCGAGATCTATTGATGAATTAATGTTAGTATTTACAGAAATATTTAAAATTACATAACAAAATATTTAAATTTGATACGATAGTTGAGCTTACCTGAATTCCGGAAATAAAAAACATCCCAACCGATAACAATGAATTATTTATTTGGCACGAATTAATTTCCATTGCTGCAGCTGTATAAAAATGGAGTAACTGCCAACGAGACGAAAAGTCACGCTACTGTTCTTACTACACTGTGTGAATCCAACACAGTGCGGTAAGAATCTGACAAAGAATTTGTGTGGAAATCGTTACGACGGCCAACAACAGAATTGACATAAAATTGTAAAGATTTTATAAACTTAAATGCTATAATCCGGAGAAGATTTCTTACCGGATTTCGTTAAACTTGCTATAATTAATTTAGAAATGTATTTATTTTTACGGTGGCAATTCTTAACCGGCCCAGTGTCAATGCTGATGTCAATTTTAACACAATTACGGTAAGAATAGCCGCTACTACGGCTCGGTAGCAATAAATTTTTAGGTTTTGCTACCACTTTGCTTAGAGTGTTCTCCAGCTGATCCCTATGCTCCAGCTAACTCGACTATTTGCCCTCTTGCCCAGTATGATATCCTTGTCAGCTATTATTTTACTAAGCAGGATTAAGTAATTGGATAAGATGGCATTTTCAATCAGACTATCCCGCTACAGAGCAGCCTCAGACACCAAAAAATAACTCGAGTTGGCCGTAATCCTGCGTCACGTGAATGATTTTTTTACCACTATAACAGCCATTTTAATGGGCTTAGGGCTAAATTTGTCCGTTTTGTTTAACTTTATGTCCATCAAAATGTACGGAATTGCACCGATGCCACTCTATCTATATTTTCCTTCCATGGCGATCCTGATCCTGTCAATTATAGACGTCTTGCTCCCCCTGGGAATTCGAATACACGAAATGTCTGTTAGCTTGAAGTGGAAATGGGGAAGGTATCTGGGGCATCCGGTTGATCGAGAATATATCTGCAGGAAAATGAGGGCACTCCAACCGTTATGTATAAATTGTGGTTT